TATCATTCATACCTTTTACTTGCTAATAGGAGGAAGGACGTAGTCGATAACGTAACAAACCGAAGTTACATTGTCATCAAGAGCGGATAGTAATATATATGCATCCAGTATTTCAAAGGACAAGTCAAGCTTGAAAGCAGGGTTAAAAGTTGTAAAAATTCTATTGACTAGGGCGTCGTGTTATCCTAATAGTGGTGTCCATTGTTAATATATGCGAGGGTAGACTGCACCAAACACCTGTAAAAACCTTGAAATAGGTTTTAAAAAAAATACTGCTCCTTTTTGACAAACCACCTCTCGGAGTTTGCTTATCGTTTGACACACTCTTTCTGGTGCTTTATACATATTTAGGTGTCAGAGTACATGTACACTTACGCCTCGCCTATTTCTACGCCTTTACCGCAAGTCTTATATAATAATCTTATTATACCTGTCAAACTTGCATGTACATTAATTATATATGTATGAAATCTCGTAATTCTAACAATTCTTTCGTGATATTTTAACTTCTTGTGTACATATCATGCATAAGTTGATATACGCACGCTAAGCCTGTACCAATTCTGAAATTTCTGTGAGATTTAGGGCCTATCCACACAAAGCTGTTCACACACAATTTTGGGTGTCATCACCAGACAGTTTGCCGCGATTTTGCAAATTTTGTCCGAGTCGGGACAATCTTCAAAGACGCCGCGGACAAAATTTGTCCACGGTAAATACTGGACAAAATCGACTAGATAAACGAAAACGTGTTTCTCTTGTCAATCATTTGTTGTAAAGCCATTGTTCTTTCCATTAAGTAATCACAAATGCGACGGTCTTAAGCCTGTTAAAAGAAAATAGTTTCCAGTGCAGAGCAGATTAATTTTTTCAGAACAAAAATTGCCACCATACAACTTTTGGTTTAGATATTTCAAAGACAACCCCAAATTTGTCTGTTAGTGCGGATAGGCCCTTATAGTTTGATTATAAAAATTACTATGAATAACCCCCTCCCTTCTTGTCCGAGGTTTTTGTTCGGCAACAACTGGTTTTAACTCGAGCCCGTTTGTTAGGAAGTACAAAAAAGGAAATATAATTATTTTACTCCCTATAAGTTATTTTACAATCTAGCAAAATTTCTGAAACCGTTACTGCCAAAATAGCTGCAAGTTTCGATGGGTACGTGATCAATAATTAGGCTGTTTGTTTCCAAAGAAATCTGCCACTCTTTCAAAACGTGCAAATCTGGACACCTTTTCGGGTCATTAATGGCCTCTAACCAGCTGGTTTAGCAGAATCAACTAGATGCATTTTTGAAAACGTGTTATTGCCAAAATAGGTCTCTTCCCTTCAAGTTTGACTAAACGTAGTTATTTCCTTATTTTTGGCGGGGAAACAGACGAGGCCCCATAGATATGTTTCTCTGTGGTGTTTAAAGGTTGATAGTGATCGTCCGCCTGCCACTGAAATTGGCCTAAACTCTCGTAATCTACTTGTCGATTCAAATCTAATGGTTGGTAACAAGTTTCATTCTTGATTTCTTGATAAGTACTCTCTTGCTTTGGATTAACGTCACTATAGTAAGTTGCCTGGTCCAAATGAACGTCATCGTAAGTGTCCTGGCCTTTGGTTGTAAGTCTGTTACCAAAGTGTAGTTCGTCAAGAAGCTGAATGGAGTTGTAATAGCTTCCTGACGTTGATGGATGGTTGTTGCCGGACATTTCTATTTTTTCTTGCCTTAAACTATTCTTTGTCCTCCTTGAACAACATGCACTGTCTGTCGGAATGTAAAAAAAAAAGTGCTGGTTAGTCTGAGCAAGGTGTTTCATAGTAAAGACAAAAGTGTTACCAACCAGCTTTTTACTTGTTAGAATAAATACTTTTGACACTGAAATTATAATCTCATCACCGTCACCACCATCACCACCACCACCACCACCACCACCATCATCATCATCATCAACATGATCATCATCATCATCATCATCATCATCATCATTTCTTGGAACTACATATTGCATTCCATCTTGAAGTGGTTGTCTCGCATTATCGTGTTGTGTCTATAGGCCTTATACCGATTTTGTTTTGCGATTGTATGGGAAACAGTTTGGCTTAAAAATTTCAGCTGAATGTAGTAATGCTGAATACAACCTGGTCAGTGTGAAAGCTCCCGTATTAGAATTTGAAGTAAAACTGGCCTCTTACCCGTTCAAAAAGTCAAGCTATTAAATTTCATTAAGATTCAAAACGTAATGTTTGCGGTTTAAACCCTGGTTCGTTGTCGGATTCAGTACTTGTCTGTTATTGTCATTGTTGGCTGAAGGCCATTGCCGGTTTTTTTTTTCTTATACCGTGCAAGGACTATTCGAAAATATGCATGCATACTGGTGTGCGAAATAATGCTTTTGATTGGCGACATCTATCGTGCTTGCACGCTGTTACGATTCGTTGGTGAATACGGTTCGTCAGCGAATCTTCACCTCCTCCTGGAAATAAAGAAGTCCTTCAACTATGACGTCAACGCCAAGGATGACGCCATTTCTAAATAAGTGAATTTGAATATCGTTCTTTCTGGCGTCGGTCTCGTGCAGGGTGGCTAAAACGTCCTTTAAGCTGACACAACTTGCAAACCGGTCAAGAGACTGCTATAAAAAGCGGTTATTTTCCGCACGATGGACTTTATGGCGAAAAAAGAAAAAAAATATGTGTGGATATACTTACGTCACATGCGTATGCTAACGCCATGTAGAAAAAACTCCAACAATTATATAAGAATAGACCAAAACATACCATTACGAGGAGATCGACGGCGCCAAACAATAATTGCGACAACCACAATCAGCAGAATTACTAGGACTACCACTACCGCAACTATGGTAGCTGTTAAAGACTTGGAAGGTGATTCAGGATCGTTTTCCTCTGAAATAATAAACAAACAAGCAGACCAATATTTAGTGAAAACGAACAACACAAGACTAAAAGAGGGAAAAAAGAAGAAAGATAGGGGGAAAAAGTCAGTGGAGACCGGCTGAGGAAATAAGTTGTCAACCAAAAAGTATTTCCTCTTGGGTACATTAAAACCAAATCAGGTTACTCCTCTAGCATAGTTAAGTGGTTTATAATGATGTCTTGAAAGACTCGCCAAGACAACTGAAGATAAAGGAAATGCCCCTACTATGGCTTGCTCATACAGCATGTCCGTGCAAACTCTATTTCTTTTCCCTAGTCTCTTTTTTTTGTCTACTCCACTATCAGTTTGGGTGTCATTATGACTTTCATTCGTTCCACTTTATACCAATATTGCAAGCTCACCTCTCAGGCGTATAAACGTTTTTAAAACGATTTTAAACTAGAGGCTCTTCTCTTCGCTTCTTTGTAAGTAATGCTAGATCAAGCCTTTTTTAAGCAAAAATGTGTTCTCGCTCCTTTTTTGTACATATAACGTTTAAAAGTAGTAAGGCAAAGAAAGGAGATGTACAGGTAGAGCTATATATCTATAATTTAGACCTCAATCATTAAAAGCTGCTTTTGGTACTTCAAAAAAACGAGTAGTTCCATATTTCAAAACGCGAGCTTAAATATGATGTTTGCCATTGCCAAAAATGTGATTTTAAATCTCTCTATTATGACACAGTAAAAACCCAAGGCGTGGGTAGCTGAGTTTAAATTTGCTTGTGCGGTCGAAGGTTAAACGTTACGATACCTGAATAAAACCGAAGGACGGTAATTCGATCATAGCTAATCGTCTAAAGAAATGTCATTCAAGTTTGAAACCAACTTGCAAACATGTAACTTACTTTTCGTTGTAAACTGAATTAATCCCTCGTTTTCATAGTTTTCATCTTGGTCAAAAGATCGCTGAAAGACCGCGTACTCTGTGTTTTCCTTTAGCTTTCCATTCAGATACTTAATATCAGCTAAAAACCATCGTCAAGAAATAGAAGTGTTACATTGAGCTGATCATAAATTTTCGTATGCTTATTTCAAAGATGGAATTAGTAGAATACATTAATGTTAAAAAAAGAAAATGCTGAAATTATTCATCCTGACGTGATTGTATATCTGCTAAAAAACTACTTAGCATCCTTAATTGCTACTTGAAAAGCATATTAAACAGTTAAGAAGTTGTATCAAATTAAACCATCTTTTACGTGTTAAGCTGTAAAAAGTATATTTTCTGCGTAAAACGTTAAATTGTGGGGAAAAAAACCAAAAGTAAGGTAGAAAAAGTGAAAAAATTCCTCCAGTAGCCTAGTTTGCATATTTATCCCATAATATTAGCATCATCTTGTATACGACAAAAAAGGGTATCTATTGAGGATAGAAACTTGCCATGAATATTGTAACGTGGCGAAAACTCAAGAGACAGGTTCCAACCCCTCCTCCCCCATTCTACCACCGTGGGGGTATGAGTTTGCATATGCGTCCGAAGGTAAATATCTTTCACACCTTTCGTTCTGAGGGGCACAAAGGTCAGCCGTTTACGCAACAAAGTGAAGCCACGTTTGTTGTCATCATGACGCCATTGGTGATTTAAAGACTTTAGAAGAAGTATTTTATTCGTCTACTTGTAGACAACTTACATGAGATAGCTCTACGTTTTCTCTTAGCGTCAGTTATACCACTCCGTGAGTAATACTTTCCGTCTCCAACAGTAAATGTCGTTCTTGATTCCTCTCTTTCAAACTCAGCAGTTATGTAAGGTTCACCATCCACTTGGTCATCATACACGCGAGTAACGTTTTGGTACTTCTCGTCTGCTGGATTCCCTGGCTCTGCCCCTTTCGGTAACGTTATGACGATCATTCGGAAATATCTGGTGGCGACATGACAACACCACTCGTCAGTTATTTTTTTTCCCGATAACGTTGTTTTGAAGGTGGAGAATTCGCATTTATATCATTTGCATCTAAATAATAGTTACTAACCATCTCTTAAAGTTGTAAAATATAATCTAAATATAGCTATGTGCAGCTAAAGGAAAAGAAAAAAAATAAAATAATAAAATAAATAGCTACTTAGAAAATAGCTGAGAATACATGTACATACGTCACAGGACTCCCATTACTCAAGGCGTGTCTGTTGACAAATTTGACGGACACTTGTTTTGCACCAATGGCGTCATCAGCGGGTGGCAAAATCGTGGGCACGGCTGAAAGAAACGATTTTGACTGATTTCATTCGTTCCTGGTAGGTGGACGAATTTTTAAAATTCCTGTATGCGCCAAATAGCTCAACCATTAAATTTACCTAGTTAGTGGAGAGAACTATAGTTAGATTTATGGCAAAGGGCAATTACGAGATTCAGGCTCACAATTCCCAAAGTGTCCAGTTAGTAATCTTTGTAGATGAAAAGGGCATGGAGCTGCTTAGTATATACTGCTCTCTGAAGATGTAATGTACAGTTAAACGACTAGTTAAGGTGATTCTAAATCTCTCCAGTAATTCTAACTGAAAATAAATGCTTTGGAAGGTATCCGATCTACAGTACCTTTAAACTAACGTTCCGAGCGAAGCCAAAAGAAAACCTATTGTTTACGCTTTATCAAATATAGAAATGTAAAAGACTAGTATTTTGAAATCTCCTTACCATCTGTCGTTGCCTTTACCGTGTTGCTGAGTGGGCCATTTCCTTTGGAAGTTGCAGCCACAATCCGAAATGAATATTCCGCCTGTTGTCTCAGTCCATTGATGATTGCCGTTTTATTAGGAGGTTTGACGACCATTGTCCCTTCTGCCTTCTTTAGTTCGTCCCTATAGTATATGGTGTATTTAGTAATGATGCCATTCCTGGACTCCTTAGGAACGCGTTCCCATTCCACCAATACACTCGTGCTATTCAGTGCAGTCACATTGCTCAGTAAAGGAGCCGCGGAAGGTGCTACAATAAAGGGTAACATGGGAGTCGCTTAAATCTTATCTGATTAGTCATTCTCCTTCTGGCTTCTATACATATCCTTGTACATTAGTTTGAGAATTTGAGGTTACATCAAGAATATATCAACTGGCTGATACATTTGCCCATTCTCATCACCTGTATGCTGGACAATGTATTGATATTGTAAGGAGAAATAACATTCCAATCACTTCTGGGAGTTCAAGAGTAAACAAAGTTTGACCCTTTCAGTCCCACAATACCAATTCATGTCATAACTATTGGGAAATAACAATAAGCTTTTGATAGAGCTATTGGTAATAAAGAATTAATGATTCAAACAAAAGACTTAAAACTGCCTACAACAAAATTACACAATTGGTTGTCAGTGCGGTAAGACCCCTCCTTTTAAGTCCTGGAGTGATCAATAACCTTCAACCTTTTCGACTAGTTGTAGACCTGGCCGATATTCATTTCCTCAGTATCCCGAAATTGCTCGCATTACACCACCCCATAAGCTGCATAGCTTTTAAAACCATCGTGCTAAAATAAGGGCTGTCTGTCTGGCTAGTGGGCACTGGTCCCGATCACCAACACTTTGAGCTCTTAAGCTCTATAGCTCATCCCAACAATGCATAATTTATAACAAGCGGTAGAGCGATGAAACCAAAAAATTGTAGGCTCGGTCCTACAGGTCTATGGGCTGGCTACGCCCCTGCAAAGAATAAAATCTACCATTTAAAAAGCTCCATGCCTTACAAATATGTTTCCAACAAACATCTTGGTACCATGTGTTAGCTATCACAGTGCAATGCACTTGAAACCTCCTAGATGGCTCTTTTTTTAATCCCCCATAATAATCATTTGGTTGCATACAGCATCGGGAGGTGAACTGGTAATTGCACTATTCATAGAACTCAGACGGTGTTAAGTAAAATGCTCTTTGACCTAGGATGCCCCTGTAAATACTTACTATCTTCGTCCGTGCGAACTGTGATTGTAGAACTGCCCGGTCCATCACCTTTAACTGTGGCTGCTACTACGCTAATGCTGTAAAATGTGTACTTGGCGAGTCCTGTCAACTTTACACTTCGACTGTTAACTTGCGATGTTTTCTGCTCACCTCCTTCTGTCTTTCTGTATAGAATTGTGTATTGGAGAATCTCACCGTTCTGTTTGTCTTCAGGCACTTCGTCCCACTGGACCAAGATTTCAGTCGAGCTCGTTGGACGTCCTTGTACGTTTTGTGGAGCAGCACTTGGCTCTGATAAAATAAGAATTACTTTGAAAGAAAGAAAGGAATAAGGAAAGAGGAAGAGGAAGAAGACGGACAGAAAGAAAATGATAAATAAGAATTAAGAATGTGTATCACAGATCATTGTCCTTTTACGTGGGTAAAGCTAAATAAAATGAAATGCATTTGAAGCCAAAACCACACTTATCTTTCTCCAGTTTACTGAGACAAGACGTTTTTATGAGAAATGACGTGTACATCATATGTTTCAGGAAGTCCAATACGTAAGCTTTTCTTAAAGGAAGAATGAGATCCATATAATTGAGTATATATTGGTCACTAAAAGGATAGAAAGCGTAATGAATCGTATGACACTTTATGTTTACAAGTTAAGATATATGATGCCCCCTCTTCAGGTTTGCACCTCATCACTACGCTAATTAGAAACTGACTTACTCTTTTGATTGCTTGTAACAAAGACGGGGTCACTATAGGGTCCATTTCCTTTAATAGTGGACGCCAAAATGCTGATGTTGTACTTCGTGTCATTTTTAAGATTCGTCAGATTGGCTTGCAGCAAACGGGAATCAACTGTTGTTGTATTGATTGATGTGGATGAATTTACTCCCCCACTTTCTATCGCCTGGAACCTAACCGTGTACGTTAATATGATACCGTTTTGGTCTGCACTGAGAACTTCACTCCAGGCGACCAAAATACTGCTGAAAGATGTATCCACTGGTCTTAGATTCAATGGAAAACCGCTTGGACCTAAGAAGAAAAATCAGGAAAAAAAAATTGGGATAGCTAGATTGAGACGGTTATACTTGATGTTGATGAAAATTCTTTTCTTCCTTTCTTTCTTTCTTTATTAAAAAGGTAAAATTAAAAGTGGTCAAAGCCTTTTTACGATTTATGTCAGCCTTCAACGGTTACAGCGAACCGGGCTCAAGATTTTTCTTCCCCTTGGGCAATTTATCGCTGTGTAACGGCAAACATGAAAGTGATAACAACCCGGAGCGAACCCAACCCAAGCTATTTCTGCAATGGGTAATTTGGGGAAAAGGTCTAGTGTAACCGCTCCTAATAAATGTAGGATTGTCATGCAAGAGAGCAATACTACAGACATGCCCATGCCTAAACTACACAGCTGTAATTGTCAAGCTCCTCTAGGCCAGCTTTGTATGAACAATTTGCGAGAGCAGTGTTTTCCCCTTCAAGATAAAGTGTTTACCATTTTGTAATGAATAAAAGAAACAAAACAAATTTAAAAAAAACAACAACAACTTTTAAAAGTAGTGATCTGCATTTTGTATGGCTAGAGATCTGAAATGAATACATATCAACAAAATTAATGAACACCAGAAATTCACTACTTACGGTCTTCATCTGTAATGATAATAATAGGTTCACTTCTATTGCCATCTCCCTTGGCAGTAGATGCAAATACTGTAATGCTGTAGTTGGTAAATTTTTTCAATCCTGTCAATGTAGCATTTGTTCTTGGAGCAACAACGATCTTCGTTCCTGAATCACCAGCGGATAACTCTGCGTAGGTGATTGTATAATACACTATAATGCCATTTTGATTGTCTGCTGGTACTTCATTCCACTGAACAAAAATGCTGGTAGACGTTATGTTGTTTCCTGTTATATTAGCTGGGGGAGCATTTGGTACTGCAATTATATAACGACAACACCCAAACGATTTTTCAAAAAAATCATAGCACATGCATTAAAATCAGTTCTGAACTTATTCGCCTACCTAAGTAGTGGTATTTGGACCGAATTAACGCTTTTTTTGCGAGGGAATCTCATTAACTTGCAGGGAATACATTAGCGCCGATGACGTCATAGCCTTCTGTCTTTATGCGGAGGAATTTCATTAAGATACGGTCATGTGCTATTTTCAAGTGATTTAACCGGCCTGGCAGGTTTTCTTGTTACTTCAAGGTCGGTGAATGTCTTGGTTTTCGATTGGTTGATTAGAAAATAAGAAACGTTGTGGTCAATTCATGGCGTGTAAGAAATAAGCGCTAACTCGTCAGTGAGTCGTAACGTAATTATGCAAGTTTGTTTTTGCCGCTGTCATTGTTCTAGTTCCGGTTCATTGATTCTTGGCGCGCAAACCGTGTGCATATTTAATAAGGAGGAAGAAGGCAAGCAAGCTCGTTTTACCACAAAAGACATTTTCACCTTCTCTCCTCCTTTTTTTTGCTCCTCTACAAGTCAGAGCGAAATAAAGAGTAAGCAGGGGCTTTTATAAGGCAAGGATTTAAATGATGTGAGCACCGCAGGTTTTCTAAATAATCGAATGTCAGCAAAGAAAGAGTCAAAGAAAGGCCCTTTGTATGAAATAGAAAGAGTATTGAGTTAGCGGAGGACATGGCATATATGAAATTTATTTATTTTTCCCCACAACTCTTACTCGCCTTTTCTCGAAAGTCACCGACCACTATATGATGGTTACACCACGTACTTACCGTTGTACTAGGGAATACAGATGACCCGTTGAAACGAGGTAGGAAAAAAATGGCGTCTGAAGAGCTACCGAACAGACGGAAAACAAACTGTCTCTGGAGGATATTTCCCTCAGTGATGGCTCCGATTCTTCATTGGTTTCACTTACAAAAGAGCCTAATTTTCGTTGTAAAAAGGCAGTGCCTTAGTGATGTGTTTTTTCGAGAGAGAAACGTTTATTTTACAAGATTAACGTTGTATGTTTTGATGGGAAGCTGGGAATTCAAAAACTTGTCGGGACATGAACTCTTTCTCCTCACGCTTAGAGAAGTATGAAGGTAAGCGCTGTTTTAAGAGGTTAGTAAGAGCTTCATTTGTCTGTGTAGTATAGAGTTATTTTGATCATAAAAGGCAGTGGCTATAATTAATGAAATTCACAAGAAAAAAATAACAGATTCCATTATTGGATATTTTAGGGTATTCAAAGAATACCCATAAGAATCCCAAGACAAGTCCCAACCAGGGAATTCCCAACCAAGTTCCCTGGATAGGACTTGTCTCACTCTTCCAAATTTGGGATTTTGGTGGGTATTCTTTAAATACCCTGAAAATATATCCAAAAATGGAAATCTGTTATTTTTTCCTGTGAAATAAACTTCATTTCTTTTTCGATGACAATTTAGTTTCATCATTGGTTTCTCAATTCCTAAGCTGTGAATGTAGCCATTTTGGTGGAAATTACAAAAAAAATAAGAAAGTAAAAAATTTAGCCTACATTTTTTATAGGAAAGTAAAAAAAATATCCCATACTTTTATAAGAAGGTGAAAAAATTTTCTCACATTGCCTTTATGTTCTTCCATATTCAGTCTCTTTTTGTGTTATCTGCCCATGCCTGTGGCCATGTTGGTAGCCATGTTGTCCAAAATTTCTGGCTATGAAGAACAATAGCTTGTACAGGCAAACGCACTGCCCAACTTTAATAACTGCACTGTAATTGTCAAGGTACTGTAGACCAGCTTTGCACATATAATTTTTTATTAGAGAGGACACAAAGCAAGTGTTTTCAGAAAGTGTTTCAAATTTCAATATGAATAAAAAGTAGAAGAAAAACAACTTTTAAAAGCACTGGAGATCTTCAGTTTGAATCCTAGAGATCTGAAACTGATGTATAACAAATAAACACCAGAATTGTACTTACGGTCTTCATCTGTAATGACAATAATAGGTACACTTCTGTTTCCACCCCCCTTGGCAGTAGATGCAAACACTGTGATGCTGTAGTTGGTAAATATTTTCAATCCTGTCAACGTAACATTTGTGCTTGGAGCAATCACTATCTCCTTTCTTGAATTACCACTGGGCACCTCTGTGTAGGTGATTGTATAATTCACTATAATACCATTTTGATTATCTGCTGGTACTTCATGCCACTGAACAAAAATGCTGGTAGACGTTATGTTGTTTCCTGTGATATTAGCTGGGGGAGCATTTGGTACTGCAATAACAACAACACCAAAATATTATTTTTTTCCAAAACCCATAGCACATGCCTTAAAACCAGCCTAAAAATATTCATCTACCTGCTACCATGTTTTTAACACGTGAGTAAATTTAGTCATGTCCGACCTAATTCCCACTCGTGCTAGGACATTATGACTGGGCAGATTAGATGTTACCAGGGACTATCATTTTGAAAATATTGGAGATAAGCATTAATATATGCCTGTCTCAGTCTTTCTGGTTTGTCCGACTTACACTGTAAATGGTACAGCTTTATCAGGTCAGACAATAATGTCCTATCGAGACAGAAAAATGTTTTTCAGTCCTCAGTAATTATCGGAAAGTTCCTGCTACTGAAAGATTGCTGAATTCTTGTTTGTTGTTCTGTAGTATTTTAGGGGAAAAAATTAAAAAAGGTGTGCTTTAGGTCTGGAGAAAACAAAGGACATGCTGAAAGTCCAAAACACTCTTTAACCACATATTAACTACATTGCAAAACCTTTTAAAGAACTGTACAAATTCTAAAGCAGTGACCATAACTTAATTTAATTTACATACAAACATGTAAATTAAGTTACACGTACAACGTTAGTAACTTATTTTACCAGAACCTTAAAAGCAGCTGAGCAATTTTATTCAAAAAGTACCTTCTTCATCTGTGGTTGTGGTGATTACTAAGCTGGGAGTACTGAAACCAACTCTGTTAGTAGCAAACACCCGTATGTAATATGTCCTTCCAGGATGTAGGTCTACAAGAGAAGCACTTGTGGAGGAGTTAGATACCACACATCCACTACTTGACAGCCCTTCACATCTAGCCTCTGCAAACGTTACAGTATCTCTACTGATCTCAACAGTGTAGTTTCGAATATCACTGTTGCCACTAAAACCAGGTGTCCAAGAGATATTTACGACTCGCGAGCTCTTAGAAAGAACTACCACATTCTCTGGCTGACTTGGTGCAACTACAAAAAAAAAACAAAAAAACAAAAAGAATACTGTACTCATTAATTAACGGCGAAAAACAGGCCAGCAAATTCTTAGGTCACCTACCGTGTCCAATTCACACTGACCATTATAAGTAAATTTAATGAAAAAGACTGTTGTAAATGAGTACCTTCCCGTTGTTTAATCGACTTGACAGTAGCTTAATGATGATTATAATGTGCTTTCTAGGCTATACTAACGCAAGTTATTGTAACCAAAAGGATAGAAAATTTTGATTCTTAGACCAGTTGCGTAAAAATAGTAAAATCTGTAGTTAAAACAGAGACTGGAAATAGACAACTTTTGGTTACAAAATTTAAAACTTTAGCTAGAACATTTCGATCTCAGGACCTTCACCAATGTGGCCCGGGTTCAAATCCCGTTGTCGACACCATATGTGGATTGAGTTTGTTGTTGGTTCTCTCCTTTGCTCCGAGAGGTTTTTCTCCGGGTACTCCGGTTTTCCCCTCTCCTCAAAAACCAACATTTCCAAATTCTAATTCCACCAGGAATCAGGTGGACGAAGAACACTTTGTGGATGTGCTACTCTTACGTCATCATTTATTTATTTATTTACTATTTATTTAAATACTGTTTTACAGCGGTGAATTATGCAACAAATTACAGTCAACTCCCTTTATAGCGGACACTGTAGGGACCTCGAGTTAATGTCCTCATTAGCGAGAGTCCGTAATAGCGGGAGTTTATTTCAGTCAAACGTCTGTAATTTGTTTTTGCCGAGAATTTAGCTGCTGTCATTATTATGAGGGTGTCTGTTATAGCGGAGTGTCCGCAAGGCGAGAGTTGACTGTACAAAGAAAATAACAGAAAAGAAACCTCAACAAACTAAAGCAATTGATGATTTATGTGTTATGGTTTCAAAAGAGCGAAAAATTACGTAACGAGTCTACTACGTGCATTGGAAGTGGTCTAATTGTAAATAGTGGTGAAAGGGAGTGCAGATCTAAAAATGTTTACAGACCACAGATTTTTATTTAATTACCCTAGCTTTAAGGTAATAGTTTTATTTAACGCTCTCAACATAAATTCTCATATCTTTTTTTTTTCTTTTTATGTACCGCTAACTAAAATAAAAAACGGTGATCTGAGTGATATGGAGAAAAACCCGTATAAACGAAGAAAGATTTCCTTGTCACATGAAATGAAAACTCGCGAACAATACAGAAAAAACAACAACAAACTAACGGAAATAGAGCGATTTGATTGGTTTGTTGAATGGATACAAACGCGCGTGGCTTTTGGTTTGTTAAGCGAACCCTCGGCTGAAAAAACTTAAAAATCAACCGATCCTTCGTTTTGACGTCATACTACAACGCGATTGGCCAATCGAACAATTCCTTCTCCATAGTAGGGTTTTCTTTGACGGGAAAACGAAGAGTCGATGTTTTGATCTTTCCATCCATTGGCTGATAAAACAAATAAAGAACACCTGCCGAAGACACTTTTCAAGGTAATGGGAAAATCGCTCTATACGTTTCAAAGAAAAACGATGTCTGACGAAAAAAATGTACGTAGTTGCTAAAAACCGTGGAACTAATTAAATGATTTTTACATACAATGTAAAGCTGCGATCTGAAAACTAATTACCGTAAGAATAATTTAATGAACCATCCAGCTTTCTAAATATTCTGTATCAAAAGACATTCCGTTTAACGGGGACTCCACAGGTAACAGATAGGTTTCTTTAACGACTAAAGATCTAGGAGCATAAAAGACTTTTACTGATGCACAGAATTAAACTTACGTAAGTAAAAGTTTCCTTACATTGAACTATAAGAGAGGCAGCCGTAGAGGTTACTGTGCTAACACTGTTGCTAGCCAAACATTTGTATTCTCCACCGTCTGTTCTCTTCACAGTCGTTATTGTTAGTTCTTTGTTATCTGCTGAGAAACTGATTCTTGAATTGACAGTGGCATTTACAGGAGATCCATTTATGGTCCAAGAGAATGTTGGCGTAGGATTACCACTTGCATTACATAAAAATGATACATTCAAGCCTTCCAGTACTATCTGGTTCTGTGGATGTTCTGAGATCTCTGGTTGATCTGTGTTAAGAACAAAAGTACTCAATTGTTAAGAGATATAGGTTTCACTGTTAAATGATATCTCTGAATTAAAACTGATTAGCTAGTTTTTAAAAACTAAAATTTTAAAAGGAAATAATTATTAATGACGACTTTTGACCTCCAGATATATCGCCCTAAGCTAATATTTCAATATTTGGCACAACGAAAAAATGTAGAATAACTGATTCTAATGAAGAATATAAGGTGCTTTCTAGAGTTAAGAGTAGTTAAAACGACTACTACTTAAAAAAAATAACAATACTTGAATTCTTCCCTGCCCGTAAAAACAAAAAACAACACAAAAAAAACACACTAGATTAAAATAATATATGCTAGAACATTTTTCATTGTTCAGTAGGTCCCTTTGTTGGTTCACAACAGAGATTGAGAGAAAAAAGGGACATTTGTTAGCCTGTGCAAGGTGGTAAATCTTAAAAATCTGAAATGAACGTGCTGTAAATTATTCTTTTTTTACATCACTTCTAATTTGAACGTAGAATAAAGTGCATGACGCAGGTAATTACAATAGTCTTCTAGTGATACCCATCTTTTTTAACCTCTCGTATTACTAGGGAATGTCATGTTGAATTTAGACTTTACTGGTTATATCTACGATAATTAAATTTTGTTGTGTTTTTATATTGGTAGATATTCGAAAGAGAATCTCGCCGCTTCATACACCCTTACTAGTACACAGTTGGGCTGAAGTAAATGAGTGAAAGTAGTCTTACATTGAACTGTAAGAAAGGCAGCACTGGAATTAACTGCACCAACACTGTTGTTAGCCACACATCTGTATTCCCCACTGTCCAACCTGTTCACATTGGTTATGTTCAGTTGTTTGTTGCCTGCTGATAAACTGATTCTAGCATTGTCAGTGGTATTTATAGGAGATCCATTTTTGGTCCATGAGAATTTTGGTGTGGGATTGCCACTTGCATTACACGATAACGCCACATTTAATCCTTCGAGTACTGTCCGATTCTGTGGATGTTCGGAGAACTCAGATGGATCTGTAGTAACAAATAAAGCATTTCATTGTCAGATGATGTACGTTTTGGAGGCATGCAATGTATGGCGAAAAAAATGTTAATCGTTAGCTGCCATCTTCATCTTAAAACTAATTAAATTATTATTGCCTACAATGCACTTTGCAATCTTAAAAAAGCATGGTCATAAGAGATTTAAGAAATCATCCGGCGTATTTAATGTTTGATGTTAGCAGATATTTCTTTCGTGGAGAAGTCGACTTGTATTCTAAATAATAACGTAATTTCATTATGTGGTGATAGATTTGGTATAACGATAGACGATCTCGGCACCTAATATGCTTCTACAGATGTACAGAGGTAAACGTTTGGAAAATGGTGAAGGCTTCCTTACATTGAACTATAAGAAAGGCAGCAGTAGAGTTTACTGTCTTAACACTGTTGCTAGCCAAACATTTGTATTCTCCACCGTCTGTTCTCTTTACAGTCGTTATTGCTAGTTCTTTGTTATATGCTGAAAAAGTGATTCTTCGATTGGAAGTGGTATTTACAGGAGATCCATTTATGGTCCAAGAGAATTTCGGCGTAGGATTGCCACTTGCATTACATAAAAATGATACATTCAAGCCTTCCAGTACTATCTGATTCTGTGGATGTTCGGAGATCTCAGGTTGATCTGTGTTAAGAGGAAAAGTACTCATTTGTTAAGAGATATAGGTTCCACTGTTAAATGATATCTCTGAATTAAAACTGATTAGCTAGTTTTTAAAAACTAAAATTTTAAAAGGAAATAATTATTAATGACGACTTTTGACCTCCAGATATATCGCCCTAAGCTAATATTTCAATATTTGGCAAAACAACAAAAAAATGTAGAATAACTGATTCTAATGAAGAAATTAAGGTGCTTTCTAGAGTTAAGAGTAGTTAAAACGACTACTACTTAAAAAAAATAACAATACTTGAATTCTTCCCTGCCCGTAAAAACAAAAAACAACACAAAAAAAACACACTAGATTAAAATAATATATGCTAGAACATTTTTCATTGTTCAGTAGGTCCCTTTGTTGGTTCACAACAGAGATTGAGAGAAAAAAGGGACATTTGTTAGCCTGTGCAAGGTGGTAAATCTTAAAAATCTGAAATGAACGTGCTGTAAATTATTCTTTTTTTACATCACTTCTAATTTGAACGTACAATAAAGTGCATGACGCAGGTAATTACAATAGTCTTCTAGTGATACCCATCTTTTTTAACCTCTCGTATTACTAGGGAATGTGATGTTGAATTTAGACTTTACTGGTTATATCTACGATAATTAAATTTTGTTGTGTTTTTATATTGGTAGATATTCGAAAGAGAATCTCGCCGCTTCATACACCCTTACTAGTACACAGTTGGGCTGAAGTAAATGAGTGAAAGTAGTCTTACATTGAACTGTAAGAAAGGCAGCACTGGAATTAACTGCACCAACACTGTTGTTAGCCACACATCTGTATTCCCCACTGTCCAACCTGTTCACATTGGTTATGTTCAGTTGTTTGTTGCCTGCTGATAAACTGATTCTAGCACTGTCAGTGGTATTTATAGGAGATCCATTTTTGGTCCATGAGAATTTTGGTGTGGGATTGCCACTTGCATCACATGAAAAGGCCACATTTAAACCTTCAAGTACTGTCTGATTCTGTGGATGTTCAGAGAACTCAGATGGATCTGTAGTAAGAAATAAAGCACTTGATTGTCACATGATCTACGTTTTAGAGATATGCAATGTCTGGCGAAAGAATCTTCATAGTTGGTTGCCATCTTCATCGTAAAATTAAGTAAATGATTATTGCCTACAATGCATTTTGCGATCTTAAAAAAGCATGGTCATAAGAGATTTAAGAAATCATCCGGCGTATTTAATGTTTGATGTTAGCAGATATTTCTTTCGTGGAGAAGTCGACTTGTATTCTAAATAATAACGTAATTTCATTATGTGGTGATAGATTTGGTTTAACGACAGACGATCTCGGCACCTAATATGCTTCTACAGATGTACAGAGGTAAACGTTTGGAAAATGGTGAAGGCTTCCTTACATTGAACTATAAGAAAGGCAGCAGTAGAGTTTACTGTCTTGACACTGTTGCTAGCCAAACATTTGTATTCTCCACTGTCTGTTCTCTTTACAGTCGTTATTGTTAGTTGTTTGTTATATGCTGAGAAAGTGATTCTTGGATTGGAAGTGGCATTTACAGGAGATCCATTTATGGTCCAAGAGAATGTTGGCATAGGATTGCCACTTGCATTACATAAAAATGATACATTCAAGCCTTCCAGTACTATCTGATTCTGTGGATGTTCGGAGATCTCAGGTTGATCTGTGTTAAGAGGAAAAGTAGTCATTTGTTAAGAGATACAGGTTTCACTGTGAAATAATATCTCTGAGGTAAAACTGAATAGCTAGTTTTTAAATACTAAAATTTTAAAAGGAAATAAATATTAATTACGGGTTGTGACCTACAGATATATCGCCCTAGACTAATATTTTAATATTTGGCAAAACAACGAAAAAATGTAGAATAACTAATTGTAATCAAGAAATTTAGCTATTGTCTAGAGTTAAGAGTAGTTAAAACGACTACTACTTAAAAAAAAACAAAACAATACTTGAATTTTTCACTTCCCATAAAAACAAAAAACAAAACAATAAAAACACACTAGATTAAACAAAAATATGCTAGGACATTTTTGATTCTGCAGTAGGTCCCTTTTTTGGTTCACAACAGGAATAGAAAGAAGAAGGGGACGTGTTAGCGTGTGCAAGGTGGTAAATCTTAAAACTCTGAAATGAACGTGCTGTAAATTATTCAATTGGTACATCCCTTCTAATTTGAACGTAGAATAAAGTGCATGACGCAGGTTATTAGAATAGACTTCTAGTGATAACCACCTTTTTTAACCTCTCTTATTACTAAGGAATTTAATGTTGAATTTAGACTTCATTGGTTATATCTACGACAAGTGAATTTTGTTGTGTCTTCATATTGGTAGATATTCGAAAGAGAATCTCGCCGCGTGATACACCCTTTTTATTACACAGTTGGGCTTAAGTAAATGAGTGAAAATAGTCTTACATTGAACTGTAAGAAAGGCAGCACTGGAATTAACTGCACCAACACTGTTGTTAGCTACACATTTGTATTCCCCACTGTCCACCCTCTTCACATTGGTTATGTTCAGTTGTTTGTTGCCTGCTGATAAACTGATTCTAGCATTGTCAGTGGTATTTATAGGAGATCCATTTTTGGTCCATGAGAATTTTGGTGTGGGATTGCCACTTGCATTACATGATAACGCCACATTTAATCCTTCGAGTACTGTCCGATTCTGTGGATGTTCGGAGAACTCAGATGGATCTGTAGTAAAAAATAAAGTACTTGATTGTCACGTGATGTACGTTTTGGAGGCATGCAGTGTCTGGCGAAAAAATCTTAATGGTTGCCATCTTCATCGTAAAACTAAGTAAATGATTTTTGCCTACAATGCACTTTGCAATCTTAAAAAAGCATGGTCATAAGAGATTTAAGAAATCATCCGGCGTATTTAATGTTTGATGTTAGCAGATATTTCTTTCGTGGAGAAGTCGACTTGTATTCTAAATAATAACGTAATTTCATTATGTGGTGATAGATTTGGTATAACGATAGACGATCTCGGCACCTAATATGCTTCTACAGATGTACAGAGGTAAACGTTTGGAAAATGGTGAAGGCTTCCTTACATTGAACTATAAGAAAGGCAGCAGTAGAGTTTACTGTCTTGACACTGTTGCTAGCCAAACATTTGTATTCTCCACTGTCTGTTCTCTTTACAGTCGTTATTGTTAGTTGTCTGTTATATGCTGAGAAAGTGATTCTTGGATTGGAAGTAGTATTTACAGGAGATCCATTTATGGTCCAAGAGAATGTCGGCGTAGGACTGCCACTTGCATTACATAAAAATGATACATTCAAGCCTTCCAGTACTATCTGATTCTGTGGATGTTCGGACATCTCAGGTTGATCTGTGTTAAGAGGAAAAGTACTCATTTGTTAAGAGATATAGGTTCCACTGTTAAAAGATATCTCTGAAGTAAAACTGAATAGCTAGTTTTTAAAAACTAAAATTTTAAAAGGAAATAATTATTAATGACGACTTTTGACCTGCAGATATATCGCCCTAAGCTAATATTTCAATATTTGGCAAAACAACGAAAAAATGTAGAATAACTGATTCTAATGAAGAAATTAAGGTGCTTTCTAGAGTTAAGAGTAGTTAAAACGACTACTACTTAAAAAAAAAATAACAATACTTGAATTCTTCACTGCCCGTAAAAACAAATAACAACACAAAAAAAAACACACTAGATTAAAAAAATATATGCTAGAACATTTTTCATTGTTCAGTAGGTCCCTTTGTTGGTTCACAACAGGAATTGAGAGAAAAAAGGCACATTTGTTAACCTGTGCAAGGTGGTAAATCTTAAAACTCTGAAATGAACGTGCTGTAAATTATTCTTCTTTTACATCACTTCTAATTTGAACGTAGAATAAAGTGCATGACGCAGGTAATTAGAATAGTCTTCTAGTGATACCCATCTTTTTTAACCTCTCGTATTACTAGGGAATGTGATGTTGAATTTAGACCTTACTGGTTATATCTACGATAATTAAATTTTGTTGTGTTTTTATATTGGTAGATATTCGAAAGAGAATCTCGCCGCTTCATACACCCTTACTAGTACACAGTTGGGCTTAAGTAAATGAGTGAAAGTAGTCTTACATTGAACTGTAAGAAAGGCAGCACTGGAATTAACTGCACCAACGCTGTTGTTAGCCACACATCTGTATTCCCCACTGTCCACCCTGTTCACGTTGGTTATGTTGAGTTGTCTGTTGCCTGCTGATAAACTGATTCTAGCATTGTCAGTGGTATTTATAGGAGATCCATTTTTGGTCCATGAGAATTTTGGTGTGGGATTGCCACTTGCATTACATGATAACGCCACATTTAATCCTTCGAGTACTGTCCGATTCTGTGGATGTTCGGAGAACTCAGATGGATCTGTAGTAAAAAATAAAGTACTTGATTGTCACGTGATGTACGTTTTGGAGGCATGCAGTGTCTGGCGAAAAAATCTTAATGGTTGCCATCTTCATCGTAAAACTAAGTAAATGATTATTGCCTACAATGCACTTTGCAATCTTAAAAAAGCATGGTCATAAGAGATTTAAGAAATCATCCGGCGTATTTAATGTTTGATGTTAGCAGATATTTCTTTCGTGGAGAAGTCGACTTGTATTCTAAATAATAACGTAATTTCATTATGTGGTGATAGATTTGGTATAACGATAGACGATCTCGGCACCTAATATGCTTCTACAGATGTACAGAGGTAAACGTTTGGAAAATGGTGAAGGCTTCCTTACATTGAACTATAAGAAAGGCAGCAGTAGAGTTTACTGTCTTGACACTGTTGCTAGCCAAACATTTGTATTCTCCACTGTCTGTTCTCTTTACAGTCGTTATTGTTAGTTGTCTGTTATATGCTGAGAAAGTGATTCTTGGATTGGAAGTAGTATTTACAGGAGATCCATTTATGGTCCAAGAGAATGTCGGCGTAGGACTGCCACTTGCATTACATAAAAATGATACATTCAAGCCTTCCAGTACTATCTGATTCTGTGGATGTTCGGACATCTCAGGTTGATCTGTGTTAAGAGGAAAAGTACTCATTTGTTAAGAGATATAGGTTTCACTGTTAAATGATATCTCTGAGGTACAACTGATTAGCTAGTTTGAAATACTGCAACTTTAAAAAAGAAATGATCATTAATTACGAGTTGTGACCTACAGATATATCGCCCTAGAATAATATTTCAATATTTGGCAAAACAACGAAAAAATGTAGAATAACTAATTCTACTGAAGAAATTTAGCTATTTTCTAGAGTTAAGAGTAGTTAAAACGACTACTACTTTAAAAAAAACAAAACAAAACAAAACAATACTTGAATTCTTCACTTCCCATAAAAACAAAAAACAAAACAATAAAAACACACTAGATTAAACAAAAATATGCTAGGACATTTTTGATTTTGCAGTAGGTCCCTTCGTTGGTTCACAACAGGAATGGAGAGAAAAAAGGGACATTTGTTAACCTGTGCAAAGTGGTAAATCTTAAAACTCTGAAATGAACGTGCTGTAAATTATTCTTCTTTTACATCACTTCTAATTTGAACGTAGAATAAAGTGCATGACGCAGGTAATTAGAATAGTCTTCTAGTGATACCCATCTTTTTTAACCTCTCGTATTACTAGGGAATGTGATGTTGAATTTAGACCTTACTGGTTATATCTACGATAATTAAATTTTGTTGTGTTTTTATATTGGTAGATATTCGAAAGAGAATCTCGCCGCTTCATACACCCTTACTAGTACACAGTTCGGCTGAAGTAAATGAGTGAAAGTAGTCTTACATTGAACTGTAAGAAAGGCAGCACTGGAATTAACTGCACCAACGCTGTTGCTAGCCACACATCTGTATTCCCCACTGTCCACCCTGTTCACGTTGGTTATGTTGAGTTGTCTGTTGCCTGCTGATAAACTGATTCTAGCATTGTCAGTGGTATTTATAGGAGATCCATTTTTGGTCCATGAGAATTTTGGTGTGGGATTGCCACTTGCATCACATGAAAAGGCCACATTTAAACCTTCAAGTACTGTCTGATTCTGTGGATGTTCGGAGAACCCAGATGGATCTGTAGTAAGAAATAAAGCACTTGAGTGTCACGTGATGTACGTTTTGGAGGCATGCAGTGTCTGGCGAAAGAATCTTCATAGTTGGTTGCCATCTTCATCGTAAAATTAAGTAAATGATTATTGCCTACAATGCATTTTGCGATCTTAAAATAATATCGTCAAAAGCGTTTTCATGAATCATCCGGCGTATTTAATGTTTGATATTAACAGAGGTTTTTTTCGTGGAGAAGTCCACTTGTATTATGAATGATCAGGTAATTCCATCATGTCGTGATATATCCAGTTTAACGACAGACGATCTCGTCACATAATACGCTTCTACTGATGTACAGAGTTCAACGTAGGAAAAAAGTGAAAGATTCCTTACATTGAACTGTAAGAGAGGCAGCAGTAGAGGTTACTGTGTTAACAGTGTTGCTAGCCAAACATTTGTATTCTCCACCGTCTGTTCTTTTGACAGTCGTTATTGTTAGTTGTTTGTTATATGCTGAGAAAGTGATTCTTGGATTGGAAGTAGTATTTACAGGAGATCCATTTATGGTCCAAGAGAATGTGGGCGTAGGATTGCCACTTGCATTACATAAAAATGATACATTCAAGCCTTCCAGTACTATCTGGTTCTGTGGATGTTCTGAGATCTCAGGTTGATCTGTGTTAAAAGGAAAAGTACTCATTTGTTAAGAGATATAGGTTTCACTGTTAAATGATATCTCTGAGGTAAAACTGATTAGCTAGTTTGAAATACTGCAACTTTAAAAAGGAAATAATTATCAATGACTTCTTTTGACCTGCAGATATATCGCCCTAGACTAATATTTCAATATTTGGCAAAACAACGAAAAAATGTAGAATAACTGGTTCTAATGAAGAAGTTTAGGTATTTTCTTCAGTTAAGAGTAGTAAAAACGACTACTACTAAAAAAAACTTGAATTCTTCACTACCCATAAAAACAACAAAAACAAAAAACAAAACAAAAAAATAACACACTAGATGAAACAAAGATATGCTAGAAGATTTTTAATTCCACAGTAGGTCCCTTTTTTGGTCCACAACAGGAATGGAAAGAAGAAGGGGACAGGTGTTGGCCTGTACAAGGTGGTAAGTCATAAAACTATGAAAAGAACGTTTTGCGAATTTTTGAGTTGGTACATGGCTTCTAATTTAAACGTAGAATGAAATAAGAAAGGTTATTAGAATAGATTTCTAATGATACCCATCTTTTTTAACCTCTCTTATTACTAGGGAATGTGATGTTGAATTTAGACTTTACTGGTGATATCTACGAGAAGGGAATTTTGTTGTGTTTATATATTGGTAGATATTGGAAAGAGAATCTCGCCGCGTGATGCACCCTTACAAGTACACAGTTAGGCGCAAGTAAATAAGTAAAAGTATTCTTACATTGAACTGTAAAAAGGCAGCACTGGAATTAACTGCACCAACACTGTTGTTCGCCACACATTTGTATTCCCCACTGTCCACCCTGTTTACATTGGTGATGTTTAGTTGTTTGTTGTCCTGTGATAAACTGATTCTAGCATTGTCAGTGATATTGATAGGAGATCCATTTTTGGTCCATGAGAATTTTGGTGAGGGATTGCCACTTGCATTACATGAAAAGGCCACATTTAATCCTTCGAGTACTGTCCCATTCTGTGGATGTTCGGAGAACTCAGATGGATCTGTAGTAAGAAATAAAGCACTTGATTGTTAGTTGATGTACGTTCTTAGAGATATGAAATGTCTGGCGAAAAAATGTTCATGGTTGGTTGCCATCTTCATCATAAAACAAACGATGCATTTTGCAATGCATTTTTGCTCTTAAAAAAACATCGTCAAAAGCTTTTTCATGAATCATCCGACATATTTAATGTTCAATATTAGCAGACATTGTTTTTGTGGAGAAGTCCACTTTTAATTTAAATGATCAGGTAATTTCATCATGATATGATATATCCAGTTTAACGACAGACGATCTCGTCACATAATACGCTTCTACTGATGTACAGATTTCAACGTAGCAAAAAAGTGAAAGATTCCTTACATTGAACTATAAGAGAGGCAGCAGTAGAGGTTACTGTGTTAACACTGTTGCTAGCCAAGCATTTGTATTCTCCACCGTCTGTTCTCTTGACAGTCGTTATTGTTAGTTGTTTGTTATATGCTGAGAAAGTGATCCTTGGATTGGAAGTAGAATTTACAGGAGATCCATTTATGGTCCAAGAGAATGTCGGCGTAGGATTGCCACTTGCATTACATAAAAATGATACATTCAAGCCTTCCAGTACTATCTGGTTCTGGGGATGTTCTGAGATCTCAGGTTGATCTGTGTTAAGAGGAAAAGTATTCATTTGTTACGAGATATAGATTTCACTGTTAAATGATATCTCTGAAGTAAAACTGAATAGCTAGTTTTTAAATACTAAAATTTTAAAAAGAAATAATTATTAATGACGACTTTTGACCTGCAGATATATCGCCCTCAACTAATATTTCAATATTTGGCAAAACAACGAGAAAATGTAGAATATTAAGTGATTCTAATGAAGAAATCAAGGTGCTTTCTAGAGTTAAGAGTAGTTAAAACAACTACTACTCAAAAAAACAAGACTTAAATTCGTCAATTCTCATAAAAAAAAACGAAACAAAAAGCAAAAAACTACATTAAACAAATATATGTTAGGACATTCTTAATCCTGCAGTAGGTCCTTTTTCTAGTTAATAACAGGAATGTAAAGAAAAGCAGGACATTTTTTAGCCTGTGGAAGACGTTAAATCTCAAAACTATGGAAAGAACGTTCTGCGAATTATGCAATTGGTACATCCCTTCTAATTTAAACGAAGAATGAAATACGCAGGTTATTAGAATAGACTTCTAGTGATAACCATCTTTTTTAACCTCTCATATTACTAAGGAATTCGATGTTGAATTTAGACTTTACTGGTGATATCTACGACAAGTGAATTTTGTTGTGTCTTCATATTGGTAGATATTCGAAAGAGAATCTCGCCGCGTGATACACCCTTACTAGTAAACAGTTGGGCTTAAGTAAATGAGTGAAAGTAGTCTTACATTGAACTGTAAGAAATGCAGCACTGGAATTAACTGCACCAACACTGTTGTTAGCCACACATCTGTATTCCCCACTGTCCACCCTGTTTACATTGGTTATGTTCAGTTGTTTGTTGCCTGCTGATAAACTGATTCTAGCATTGTCAGTGGTATTTATAGGAGATCCATTTTTGGTCCATGAGAATTTTGGTGAGGGATTGCCACTTGCATTACATGAAAAAGCCACATTTAAACCTTCAAGTACTGTCTGATTCTGTGGATGTTCCGAGAACTCCGATGGATCTGTAGTAAGAAATAAAGCACTTGATTGTTAGTTGATGTACGTCTTAGAGATATGAAATGTCAGTCGAAAATATGTTCGTGGTTGGTTGCCATCTTAATCATAAAACAAACGATATTATTATTGCCTACAATGCATTTTGCGCTCTTAAAAAAACATCGTCAAAAGCGTTTTCATGAATCATCCAGCGTATTTAATGTTCAATATTAGCAGACATTGTTTTGGTGGAGAAGTCCACTTGTAATTTAAATGATCACGTAATTTCATCATGTTATGATACAGTCCAGTTTAATGACAGACGATCTCGGCACGTAATACGCTCCTACTGATGTACAGAGTTCATCGTAGGAAAAAAGTGAAAGATTCCTTACATTGAACTATAAGAAAGGCACCAGTAGAGGTTACTGTATTAACACTGTTGCTAGCCAAACATTTGTATTCTCCACCGTCTGTTCTCTTGACAGTCGTTATTGTTAGTTGTTTGTTATATGCTGAGAAAGTGATCCTTGGATTGGAAGTAGAATTTACAGGAGATCCATTTATGGTCCAAGAGAATGTCGGCGTAGGATTGCCACTTGCATTACATAAAAATGATACATTCAAGCCTTCCAGTACTATCTGGTTCTGTGGATGTTCTGAGATCTCAGGTTGATCTGTGTTAAGAGGAAAAGTAGTCATTTGTTAAGAGATATAGGTTTCACTGTTAAATGATATCTCTGAGGTAAAACTGAGTAGCTAGTTTGAAATACTGCAACTTTAAAAAGGAAATAATTATCAATGACTTCTTTTGACCTGCAAATATATCGCCCTAGACTAATATTTCAATATTTGGCAAAACAACGAAAAAATGTAGAATAACTGGTTCTAATGAAGAAGTTTAGGTATTTTCTTGAGTTAAGAGTAGTTAAAACGACTACTACTAAAAAAAAATTGAATTCTTCACTACCCATAAAAACAACAACAACAAAAAAACAAAAAAATAACACACTAGATGAAACAAAGATATGCTAGAAGATTTTTAATTCCACAGTAGGTCCCTTTCTTGGTCCACAACAGGAATGGAAAGAAGAAGGGGACAGGTGTTGGCCTGTACAAGGTGGTAAGTTATAAAACTATGAAAAGAACGTTTTGCCAATTTTTGAGTTGGTACATGGCTTCTAATTTAAACGTAGAATGAAATAAGAAAGGTTATTAGAATAGATTTCTAATGATACCCATCTTTTTTAACCTCTCTTATTACTAAGGAATGTGATGTTGAATTTAGACTTTACTGGTGATATCTACGAGAAGGGAATTTTGTTGTGTTTATATATTGGTAGATATTGGAAAGAGAATCTCGCCGCGTGATGCACCCTTACTAGTACACAGTTAGGCGCAAGTAAATAAGTAAAAGTATTCTTACATTGAACTGTAAGAAAGGCAGCACTGGAATTAACTGCACCAACACTGTTGTTCGCCACACATTTGTATTCCCCACTGTCCACCCTGTTTACATTGGTGATGTTCAGCTGTTTGTTGTCCTGTGATAAACTGATTCTAGCATTGTCAGTGATATTGATAGGAGATCCATTTTTGGTCCATGAGAATTTTGGTGAGGGATTGCCACTTGCATTACATGAAAAGGCCACATTTAATCCTTCGAGTACTGTCCCATTCTGTGGATGTTCGGAGAACTCAGGTGGATCTGTAGTAAGAAATAAAGCACTTGATTGTTAGTTGATGTACGTTATAGAGATATGGAATGTCTGGCGAAAAAATGTTCATGGTTGGTTGCCATCTTCATCATAAAACTACGATGCATTTTGCGCTCTTAAAAAAACATCGTCAAAAGCTTTTTCATGAATCATCCGGCATATTTAATGTTCAATATTAGCAGACATTTTTTTGGTGGAGAAGTCCACTTGTATTCTAAATGATCAGGTAATTTCATCATGATATGATATATCCAGTTTATTAACGACAGACGATCTCGTCACATAATACGCTTCTACTGATGTACAGATTTCAACGTAGCAAAAAAGTGAAAGATTCCTTACATTGAACTATAAGAGAGGCAGCAGTAGAGGTTACTGTGTTAACACTGTTGCTAGCCAAGCATTTGTATTCTCCACCGTCTGTTCTCTTGACAGTCGTTATTGTTAGTTGTTTGTTATATGCTGAGAAAGTGATCCTTGGATTGGAAGTAGAATTTACAGGAGATCCATTTATGGTCCAAGAGAATGTCGGCGTAGGATTGCCACTTGCATTACATAAAAATGATACATTAAAGCCTTCCAGTACTATCTGGTTCTGTGGATGTTCTGAGATCTCAGGTTGATCTTTGTTAAGAGGAAAAGTATTCATTTGTTACGAGATATAGATTTCACTGTTAAATGATATCTCTGAAGTAAAACTGAATAGCTAGTTTTTAAATACTAAAATTTTAAAAAGAAATAATTATTAATGACGACTTTTGACCTGCAGATATATCGCCCTCAACTAATATTTCAATATTTGGCAAAACAACGAGAAAATGTAGAATATTAAGTGATTCTAATGAAGAAATCAAGGTGCTTTCTAGAGTTAAGAGTAGTTAAAACAACTACTACTCAAAAAAACAAGACTTAAATTCGTCAATGCTCATAAAAAAAAAAACGAAACAAAAAGCAAAAAACTACATTAAACAAATATATGTTAGGACATTCTTAATCCTGCAGTAGGTCCTTTTTCTAGTTAATAACAGGAATGCAAAGAAAAGCAGGACATTTTTTAGCCTGTGGAAGACGTTAAATCTCAAAACTATGGAAAGAACGTTTTGCGAATTATGCAATTGGTACATCCCTTCTAATTTAAACGAAGAATGAAATACGCAGGTTATTTGAATAGACTTCTAGTGATAACCATCTTTTTTAACCTCTCATATTACTAAGGAATTCGATGTTGAATTTAGACTTTACAGGTTATATCTACGACAAGTGAATTTTGTTGTGTTTTCATATTGGTAGATATTCGAAAGAGAATCTCGCCGCGTGATACACCCTTTTTATTACACAGTTGGGCTTAAGTAAATGAGTGAAAGTAGTCTTACATTGAACTGTAAGGAAGGCAGCACTGGAATTAACTGCACCAACACTGTTGTTAGCCACACATCTGTATTCCCCACTGTCCACCCTGTTTACATTGGTTATGTTCAGTTGTTTGTTGCCTGCTGATAAACTGATTCTAGCATTGTCAGTGGTATTTATAGGAGATCCATTTTTGGTCCATGAGAATGTTGGTGTGGGATTGCCACTTGCATTACATGAAAAAGCCACATTTAATCCTTCATGTACTGTCCGATTCTGTGGATGTTCGGAGAACTCAGATGGATCTGTAGTAACAAATAAAGCACTTGTTTGTTACATAATGTACGTTTTGGAGGCATGCAATGTCTGGCGAAAAAATCTTAATGGTTAGTTGCTTTCGTCATCGTAAAACTAAGTAAATGATTATTGCCTACAATGGACTTTGCGATCTTAAAAAAGCATGGTCATAAGAGATTTAATAAATCATCCGGCGTATTTAATGTTTGATGTTAACAAGTATTTCTTTCGTGGAGAAGTCGCCTTCTATTCTGAATAATAACGTAATTTTATTATGTTGTGATAGATTTAGTATAACGACAGACGATCTCGGCACATAGTACGCTTCTACTGATGTATAGAGGTAAACGTTTTGAAAATGGTGAAGGCTTCCTTACATTGAACTATAAGAAAGGCAGCAGTAGAGGTTACTGTCTTAACACTGTTGCTAGCCAAACATTTGTATTCTCCACCGTCCGTTCTCTTCACAGTCGTTATTGTTAGTTGTGTGTTATATGCTGAAAAAGTGATTCTTGGATTGGAAGTAGTATTTACAGGAGATCCATTTATGGTCCAAGATAATGTCGGCGTAGGATTGCCAGTTGCATTGCATAAAAATGATACATTCAAGCCTTCCAGTACTATCTGATTCTGTGGATGTTCGGAGATCTCAGGTTGATCTGTGTTAAGAGAAAAAGTACTCATTTGTTAAGAGATATAGGTTCCACTGTTAAATGATATCTCTGAGGTAACTCTGAAAAGCTAGTTCTTAAATACTAAAATTTAAAATGGAAATAATTATTAATGACGAGTTTTGACCTGCAGATATATCGCCCTAAACTAATATCTCAATATTTGGGAAAACAACGAAAAAATGTAGAATAACTGATTCTAATCGGCAGAAACTAAGGTTCTTTCTAGAGTTAAGGGTTGTTAAAACGACTACTACTTTAAAAAAAATAATAATAACAGTACTTGAACTCTTCACTGCCCATTAAAACAAATCCCGAAATCACAAAACAGTGGCAAAGCGACTTCGATTTCTTCTGCAGTGGTAAATATAACTTCGAACGTACAAAAAGTCAGCTACAGTAAACCACTTCACAATCTATCACGCTGTTTAAGCACCATGAAGTCTTTTCTTGCCTTCAAAGTCATCAGCACTCGGATATTCGTGTATTTTCTAAAAGGCTTTACTACGACACTTTGGCTAAAACACCCAGTTCACGACAGCGACTTTGTTCTGCTTTATATTCACCGCCTAGCGCGGTGAATATAACGTCATAGTCCGAGATAACTAACCGATGAGATTGCTTGAATTGCCAAGATCACTGATACACCCTTACTAGTACACAGTTAGGCGCAAGTAAATGAGAAAAGTATTCTTACATTGAACTGTAAGAAAGGCAGCACTGGAATTAACTGCACTAACACTGTTGTTAGCCACACATCTGTATTCCCCACTGTCCACCCTGTTCACATTGGTTATGTTCAGTTGTTTGTTGCCTGCTGATAAACTGATTCTAGCATTGTCAGTGGTATTTATAGGAGATCCATTTTTGGTCCATGATAATTTTATTGTGGGATTGCCACTTGCATTACATGAAAACGCCACATTTAATCCTTCGAGTACCGTCCGATTCTGTGGATGTTCGGAGAACTCAGGTGGATCTGTAGTAGGAAATAAAGCACTTTATTGGCACATGATGTACGTTTTAAAGATTTACGATGTCAGGCGATCTAAAAAAAATCTTAATGGTTAGTTACACAGTTGATCGTAAAATTAAGTAAACGATTATTGCCTACAATGCACTTTGCGATTTAAAAAGGCCTGGTTAAAAGCGTTTCATTGAATCTTTCGGCGTATTTCTTGTTCGATATTAGCAGACATTTCGTTCGTGGAGAAGCCCACTTGTATTCTAAGTGATAAGGTAATTTCATTATGTTGTGATAGATTTAGTTTAGCGCCAGACGATTTAGCAACATGATACGCTTCACTGATGTACAGAGTTAAACTTAGGAAAAGGGTGGAAGCTTGATCTTGTTGAGGGTTATCATTAAATTATCTTGAGCCTCTACCTATTGGTCGTTTTTCAAACCCTTTAGCCATGATGCCTCTTTGTTGTATTCAACTGAGTAAGTCCAAAGCTCACTCCAGAATAATATATTTTCCTCTGCATTAGGCATAAGCTGCTTTGATTGGTCCAATTGGTCGAAAATTGCAAAACTGTCTCTGATTAGTCTCAAACAATGTGTTCCGTTGGTATTGTCTAATTTTTTCGTCATTCCTCTTTACCTTAGCTGCCTTAGCTGTTATTCTTTGTTTCTTTGGAATGCTGTCCACATTATGAGCAGTATAGGGGGCATAAGGTAACCTACACCACTTGAGAAGCTATAGTTAGAAGTAGAAAAAATTCGGTACGAAACCTAATACAATGCTAGAATACATAATGACGTGAATCTCCCTGCTTAAAAAGCCAATTTAGAATATTATTAAATACTTATACTCTGTAAAACCTACGCAAAGACATGATGATCTAATTATCTCTACTAGAAGCCTATTTAGAAAATTATTCAGTTGGTTATCTCTACTTAAAGCCTACCTAGAATAATACCAAACTCTATAAAATCTACTTAAAAACATCAGTAAAATATAGATTTTGCGACACTTTTTGGATTTCTTAAATGTTCTGGCAATGCTCAAAGTGTTTGAGATGACCGACCTCTACCTCCGCTCAAGTACGCCCCATGCTCTTGCTCCTAGTAGCTTCCTCACCGACGTCTCTAGGTGTGTAGAGTAACCACCCGTAACCATTGTATGTCTACTTCAGCTCCTACATCATGGGCCCATACTTGAGTGTCTTTTCCTCTTTCCTCTCGTGGCTGACAAGTGGCGCGTCGATCCGATTTGCTCTAACTTCGTTGTGCTCTGCATAGATGGGAATATGCCAAAAGGCCTCACTCGTGGTGTTCTGGTAGGCTGGTTTTGGCGTCACCGGTGAGTACCGTGGTGGAACCCCTTCTATTAACCAATGTTCTCACAGGAGCTCAAAAAACAGAATCTTCAAAGCTCCATCATGCCTGTGTAGGTACCTTGGTTTGTGTCAAGGAGGAACATCCAGCCCGTACATGTGCAAACGCTCTCGGCTACCTTCCCACATAACCTGCATAGGACTTCGCCGTCGGTGGAGGTTTGCGTTTTCTCCTTCGTAGGTAACAACTACTTATACAGTTCATACATACCCGCGATGATATATGTTATTGTTATCCTTATCCTTATCCTTATCCTTATCCTTATCCTTATCCTTATCCTTATCCTTATCCTTATCATTATCATTATTATTATCATTATTGTTATTATCATTATTATTTTAAGAGGCAGTATGCGGAAAGAGTAGTGGAGATCGAACAGGGAACGTTCCCTCCCCTAGTTTTCACGACCACAGGCGGAATGGCGGATGAGTGTGTTAAGTACCACAGCAGACTTTCGGAGCTGATCGCAAATAAGAAGGGAGAAAGTTATTCAAGCGCAATTTCCTGGATAAGAGTTAAAAGTAACTGAGACGGATGATTCTCTTTTGAAATGACTTAATTTAAAACTCTGGACCGCCTGCAAGAGTTATTGATCCAATCTGAGCCGCAAGGAATGTATTTGTTAATCGTTATTGACACAGTGATTATGTTTTTATGATTTATATAATTCTTACTGTTATATAGTGCTTAATTCTTACTTCAAATATTTCTGTAAATTATGTACACATTTTTAAAGTTGAATAAAATTTTTGTATTATATATAAAAAAATATCAATGTTATTATTATTATTATTATTATTATTATTATTATTATTATTATTATTATTATTGTAGAGCTGTGATTATAAAAAATAATGAGTATCTGAAACTCCAGTCGCTCAAGGTTCGCTTTCTTGTAAAAGCAAGGAGAAATCATGAGTACTTACACTGTACATTTAGCTTAGCAGCATCAGAAGTTGCATTGCCAGCACTGTTGTTCGCTACACATCGGTATTCCCCGCTGTTATTTCTTTTTATACTTGTTATCGTCAACTGCTTGCTATCTGCTCCTAAGAAGATTCTTGCATCGTCACTTGTCAGTACAAATTCGCCTCTGAACCATGATATTACCGGTTCAGGATCTCCACTGGCATTACAAGACAAAGTGATGTTATTGCCTTCTGTTACAGTTGTATTCTGTGGATGTGTTGTGATCTGAGGTGCAACTATAATTAACAGCAAACTAAGGACATTAATTCTGGTAACATTTTCATCGTTGCAAATACATCTTGTGTATAAATCAGGGCCGGGACTCGCTGCTGCACATCATGGACAGGGCATTCAGATATTCAGTCTCGAACGATTACAATATCCCTGCACCGTGCCGGAAGTTGGAAAAAAATACCGAAATTTGTGACTGTCAAGACCTGTCAGCGCCGAGCTTTTAAACCAAACCTGGACCATAACTTAAATTCAGTAGCTATTTAAATTATTTACTCACAAATAAGAAGGAAGAGTCCCGTAATTCGACTCAGCCAGTTTAAGCTGATGGAAGCCGGTACGCGGAACATTCAAAGCAGGAGCGAATAGAAGTATAAATTTAGCCCGCGGATTAAACATTCGACAGGGGCACCCAACGAGAATTTAGTTCAAAACCTCTTAAACATAGCATTGTTAAACGAATTTTAGTATTTAGACGGTAGATATAAGAATATTTTTATCCCCTAAAAATATTTTTCATCTGTTCGGATTCCCTAGCTTAAAGTCTAGTGATCCGAAAATTATAAGGATCAAAACTCACATTTTCGAAAATTTTAGCCAGAAAAATGGCTCCCGAAAATTCTAGGCGACGTTTTTGGGTAAAAATCCGTTAAACATGGGCAATTACACCATTTTTTAGATGTTCCAAAATCATAGGAGAGGCAGGCAAGCAAGAAATTTTACAGCAAATCAACGTTCCGAAAATTCTAGATCTCCAATCATCTTCCGAACAGATGTTTTCCGAAAATTGACGTTGGGTGCCCCTGGTAAAATCGGTTGATTACCTTGTGTCTTCGTGAAGTGTATGGCACTCAAGCAGAGCAAAAAGACTCGAAAGTTCATTGTAACTTGAAGCGACAATTTTGTACCTTCATTCGGAGGTCTTCTGGTTGCTTTTGATTCATTTTAATCAATTCACCGTTTAGGGTATGCTTTTATTCTTTATGTGCAAAATCCATGAAGAGTAGATGCTAATAAATCTGAATCTATTATGTCAAAATACAGGTCAAGCATAAAACCAGAGATATAAGTTATAAACTGACTGCGATTTAAAATTTCATATTACACTTTACTATGTCATGCAATTGAAAGCTATACGTACAACGTCTAGGCATAGTTGTCTTAAGTAAAGACCAAGTAATGTCTGAGAATTAATGCTCAAACCATCAAGGGTAGTAGCTGTGTGGTTTCCACGAATTAACTGAAAGTACAAACAATTTATTTACAGCTACAGCCTGTGATTGTTCACAACGTGATCACCATCTAACGGTTTCACTATTTGCAATCAGCGATGGAGGACATTAAAACGTCAGGTGATAATTTTAAGCGAATTCTTTAACCAACAAAAGTGAAAAACGTTCCGTTGAAAAAGCATAAAATGTAAGGCTTTTGGGCTGTGAATGTCTGATAATCGAGGCTGGCATGTGTTCAACAGATTTATGTCCGTCGAATCAGATACTATAATTTATATATTTCGACAAATTAGCAAATTAAGTTCTGTGAGATTTGTGATTTTCGAGATTCAATGTAACTATTAAATAAACCCAAGTTCGTTCGCAAATATAATCTCGATCCCAGGTCATCTACAGAAAATCTGCATAAACTGGGGAGACCTGGGCACGAGATTATCCCACCTCAAGCCACTCACCTCTTTCTGTCCCTTCTGTAGTCTTTGTTGTTGGCATTAAAGTAGGGTCCTTGGTTCCAAACACCCTTCAAAGATTATTTATTAATTTATTGAATCAAAAGTCTTTTCTTATGAGGATGAACAGTTGTTTAATGATCACTGGCTTACGATGTCCAATAAACTGAAAGGAAAAAAGATTTTTAGGAAAAAAATGTACAGTAATTGAATATCAAAAGGAAAAAAATGCTGTTGCTCTCACTCTTTTTATATGGGCTTTGTAAATCGTCTTTTTCTTAGTTCTTCTTCCCGCTCCTGTGAGGTTCTGTCGGTTGCGTGTTTCAACTACATGTATGTCCCGCAAATTTATTTTTTGCGTATATGACAAACAACATTGCAGATTTGAAATGCTCACACTTTTTTTACTCATCAGATCCTTTGTAGATCTATATGTGCGTCCGTAACATTTTTGTTCAGTGAAGTTCCTTGCTTTTTTTTCTGTACTTTCTGACCAGATTCTTCTTTATCTGAGTTATAACGCGTAGTTTTACAAGTTTTCTTAAAAGAATGCAATTGAGGTGTGCATGCAATAATTCATTCCTGAAACACTTTGTATCTTTTACATGTTCAAGTTAGTAGAAGCACTTTAACCTTGTTAACCAGGATGATTTGTTTCTAAGGTTATAGCTACAATCCTTGACTGCTTCTGACTACGTTTCTTTTTTTTCGGATTAATAAAGAGCCTTTAG